CTGAAAACCATAATCTTATTTAAGGGCAGACCAAGAGGGTGAAAAAAAACCATGTTTAAATAAAGGTGGTTCCTCCCTTCAGTATGTGCAAAGCTGCACTGAGATACTTCCCTGGCCAACAAAACATGAATGGGACACAAAGAATATCTGCATAATTATTTATATTATTATTTTATTAGCATATGCAGTGTGATGCATATTTAACTTGGAAGCAAGTCCCACCGAGTTAAAAAGCATCCCCTCCCCATAAATGTGGACAGGATTGTGCTTTACATTTAATCTGTAGCATCCATAATTGCTTATTTTAATTTTAAAGTGTTTAACTTTTTTCTTCAATGGATATCAAAGTAGCTAATAACTTTAAAAGTCAACAAACAAAACAATAATATAGCAGCAGTTGAAAAACAGGTAAGGCATGATCAAGGAGACATATTTAAGAAATGATAAAGATAGTTTATCAAAAGATCGATAAAAGAATTGGAGAGAAACACCATCCCATCAACAGCTGTAGAAACCAGCACTTAAATGACCCTGATGATTCCCTGAAAGAGCCAGTCCTTCACCAACCCCCCAAAAGCACACATCAAAGGGGCTAGACAAGATTTCCTCAGTAAAGCATTCCATAGACATCAGAACTGAAGAACTCTTACTTTTTATAGCAACCGATTGCACTTCAGCCAACAAGGAGATATTCGAATACACTTCAAATAGATTGGATATGTTCACTCTTTGGCACAGATTTATTTTTCAGATTAGTTTAAAATAATATTCTTGGCATGCTAGATTGGGTGGGGGGGTGGGCGAGGGAACCTGTTGCCCTAAAGTTCTTCTGGATTAGAGCTCCTATCAGTTCCAGCCAGCATGGCTCATGCCTGAAAATTAAGGGAGTTAACATCCAAAACAACTGTTTATGGTACTGTGTAAAGCATGAGGAAAAACGTAATACTGAAATTATGTCTCCATACTCTGCACTGGATGTCCCTTACCCAGTAAGGAGCTACATACTGCAACGGAAGGCCAGAGCGTTATGTAGCATAGCAGCTAAACTGTTGCAGATTTGGTGCCAATCTGCTCTTCCAAGTAAAGGATCCTTGATGATGGGCATTTTTATACAATGTCCATATTTGTCTTGAGGGTGGAGGAGTTTCCTATGTGAAGTGTAGTGCAAAGGCATTATTTGCTGTAAGGAAACAAAGCAACTCCTGTGACATGGCAGTAAACAAAGTGGAACTGGGTGGTTTTTGCAGCAAAATGAGCATTATTTTCTTCATTCCCCTTTCTCAAACTCTTTCCATGTTTCAGTCTGTGATACTGCAGAACAGAGCTGATGGAACTAAACTGATTCATGTCCTTTGTTCAAGGCCAACTAGCCACCCAGCTAGGTGGAATGAAGGGAAACTGTCTGTGGTGAGCCGTAGCTGGAAGAATACACCAAATCACAGCCAAAATAAAAAGCCTAGAGAATATTGGGTGGGGGAGAGAAGTACAGCATACTGAGAGATTGTAAGGCTAAATAAGGAGAGAGTAAAATATACTGGTGAAAATCCAATTTCACAGTATATTCTGGGAAACTAAGCTAAGTTCTCACCAAGCAAAATTCACATATAGACAGGATGTCAAAGCCTATTCCAAATCTGCTTTGCTTTATGTGACTACCTAGAGAAAGAGCAATCCAAGTGTGTGTATGTGAAACTTAGGGAACTGCAAGGGAACCAATTGCATTTAAGGATAGCTTCCTAAAATATGTTTTCAATTTGGATATAACTACCAAATTCATTGTGCACATAGTTTTGAATGGCACATATGCAAAACTTACATATTACATATTTCTCTTTTAATGCAACAAATATGCTCACACAATCCTTACACAAAAATCCTGTCACAATTTTTGCATTTATTGAAACACTTTGTCATTATGATTCAGATGACATACCATTTCTTTCATCAGTCATAAGTTCTTCAATTCAACTGATCTACTTCATTTCTCATTATAGCCATATTACTTCCCTTTTCTGCCCTCTAAAAGGGCTCCCTTTTTCTTTTTGTGTTCTTTTTAAGCATCTTCTATTGAATTTCAAATAGGAATGCTTCATTCTGTGGTATCTCCTATCCCCAATCCTCAGTAAATCTGAAAAATATTTTCTATTTTCCTTTCTTCTTTGCAGTTCCCTAACACTGGTCCACTTAATTCCATCTGGCTTCTTTTATTGATACATTCCTACACTTGATAAAAACTATCTTAATCTTCACTCCATCTGCACTTTCACCGTTTCCCTTCCCTTGTGTGTATTGTCTTTTCATAGGTTGTATGTCTAAAGACAAGGCTTGCAGTTTTTACTTTACTGTGCATGCCTAGTTTATATAATGAGCATTATAGACTGGCCTTCAGGCGGCTGGTTGAGAGGATAACTGCAAGCCAGTTGTTGGGAGTGACATACCAGAAAATGGCAGTTGCTTTCATGTCCTTACTGTAGGATTACCAGGAGGCATTTGGCTAGTCACAGATGGAAAAAGAATACTGGGCTGGGTGGTTTTAACCAGCAAGGTTCATGTAATGCTCTTAATAATTTGAATTGTTTTGCTCAGCAAAAGATATGGACAGGGCAATTGCGAAAGGAGCTGACTGCAACTTTATGTTGCTAAGAAAACAAAGATTTAAATATCCATCATTATCAGTTTAAGCAATATCATAAAAAGTTATCTTGAGATTATGGACGGAATGCAAGACAACAAAGAATCGTCTTCATACCATCTGTCCCAACAGAGCTTGCTGCAGCAATTACCAGGCAAGACCAAAGACTGGCTAGCTAGCTGGGATGGACCAACTTGGCTATGACATCACACTGGCTCTCACATTTGACAGCTTGCTATACCTTGACACAAACCACAGATTCTATATTTAACAAGCCTGAACATCTGAAATGGATCCTCAACAAGAAAGCAATTATTCAGTTCATGAAGCATACTGTTGTAAATCTTCCCTAAGATGAAAAAATGGGCAAGAACACGTGCACACATCCACACTCACACACCACTTGATACTATATAAAAGCCATTTTTAACACCACACAGAAGCCATTAAAATACATTTAGAAGTCCTCAACTATTTCCCTAACAGAATTACAAAAGCCATACAGAAAGCACAAGAAATACAGAAAGAAATGACTGTCATAAATAAAACACTGGGGTTTCTACCATCCAAAATATACACCATTGTACTGAAGATGCCAACTGTCCTCAGCAGACACATTCATTCTGGAAATGCATTTCCCATCTTTTTCTCTTCCACTAGCTCCAATTCATAAAATGAAAATATACTTAAACCTTATTTATTGAGAGATGGTAAGGAAAGCACACCACATTTAAATAATTTTAAAAGACCATCCTAAAGCTACGGAAAAAACGGCATAATTTTCAACCATATTAACATTACTGGTCATTCTATTGATTATGTAATATATATACAGCCCAAACAACATGCCATTGCCAAGTGGTCACATTTCACTCTGTCAACATCTGTCTTGGCATAGTTAATATCAATTAATGCTTTGCAGGAATGTCAGCTTTAGCAGGCTTCAAATTCCACATCCATTTTTATGGCTATAGTGCATAGTTTACACACATACACACACACACACTTAAGCTACAGTGTTTCCTGCAAAATGGATAAAATCTTTTATAACCTTAACTGGTAGAAAAGCTATGTATTTATCCCCATCGGAGAACAAATCCCACTTGCTATTAAGTTGAGATTTTACTATTCTAGCTATAGCAACGACATTTACAATCTATGAAAAATAAGAAGTACATTCAGTGCCCCTGGCTGAAAATCTCTCATCATTATGCTTCTGTGTGCTTTTGGCAGGGCCTTAAAAAAGATGCAGTGATGTACAATGGAATGTAACAGTTGTGCACTAATGCACATCCTTTGTTTGGGTTCAGGATTTTTAGTTCATCTGCACTCCAGGATACAATATCTGGTAAAACAGCTTTTGCTGCTCTGCTCTTTTTCTTTGATGGGCATATGTAAAAGTATGGGAGTGGAGAGAACTGGTTAAAATGACTATTACTATGTTGTAGTGTTGGCAAGACAGTAAACACTATAAACAAACAGAAATGAGCAAGTCTTGCAATACAGAGTTGAACATCAAAGGACTAAGGAGATGGCAATGGTGGAATTAAAGTACAAAGCTGAGGATGACATAGTTTGGCAAGGAAGGGCTTTGAGAAAAAGGTGAATCGAAGAAAGGTTTTGAAAGATATGAATTTCGAAGAAGTTTCAAAGAGGAAAGGGAAGGAAGCATTTAGAGAAGGGAGAGGCATAGCAAAAGGCAGAATAGAATTTACAAAAATTAAACCCAGTGAATGGCTAGTTTAGAGTATTGAGCCTGGACACAGGAATCACATATTAAAACCCAGTTTAGTGCTAAAATGGGGCAGGTTCAACCAGCCACTATCAAATTTAGCCATTCCCCTAGATATTGCCACAAGAATAAAAAATGTCATGAAATCATATAAAATGTGACTCTACCTTATTGGTAGTAAACATCCATTTTGTAAACTTTTTTGACAAGTACAAATACTAAAAAATGCACTTTCAGTGCCTTGGGAACTGCAAGCTGCCAAACAAAACAATGGATAACCCTAGTTTTGCAATACAATCTGCTTTGGCCCTACAAGACTTATCTAAAAAGATGGTGATCATCATCATCATCATCGCATTACATTTATACCCTGGTGTTCTTGCTCTTGCGAGGAACTCAAGGCACCTTACAAGGTTTTCCTTTTCATTTTAGCCTCAGAACAAGTACTGTTGTAAAGGGGAGCAATTTGGTCTTGTGAGAATTCCGTATTGTTTTTCTAGTCTGTTTTGTGCAAACAGGTCCTGTCTTAACAATTATTTAATCATACCCTTTAACATATGATAAATCATTCAAATCACAATGATACTATTAAGCTGTGCAAGCCCAGAAAACAACGCATTTTTGCTTTTTACTTACTCAAAGAAAGTTGTCCATCCAGTCTCATCACTTTTAGTTGCCAATAGTCCACTGTTGCCATGATAAGTAAATAAGACTAGCTCCTGTCCTTGAGCTGTCATACTTTTCAAACATCCATTGGTTCCTATAGTTAACCAGATGACTTGATTATCAGGTGATACCACCCTTACTGGCATCCGGTTGGGATCCCGTCTAATACGAAGGGTATTTCCATTACTGTCAGTTACCGCAGTTACATCATTGTCATTGCTATAGCTAAAATTGTACAAATAGTCTCCTGTGACTAAACTCATCGTGTACTGATGAGTCCCATTGACATCAAAGATATAGAGTTCTTGATCAGTTGGAGAGGCAACTTCATAAAAATTCATTGAATTCAACAATGGTTTGTTCTTTGACACAGCTCGTATCCGGATATTTCCAAGATCTGCAATGTACAATGTTCCGTCAGGTGATACAGCTAAGGAAGATGGAGCATTAAGTTTGGCATCTTTAGCATAACCATCTCCATTTTGATAGCAGTCACAATTAGCATCATTTTTGCAATCACACTCCGAAGGTATTCCAGCAACTAACGAGATTTCTCCATCTGTTGTAACTTGTCTTATTCTGTTAATCTTTTTTTCATCAGTCTCTGTAATGTAAAGCACCCCATTATAAGATACAGCAATAGCTGTTGCTGATTCTAAAGTGGTCTGTACTGCATGCTTTCCTACTGTGTATTCCACTCCAGGGACTTGACAGTGCATTGGCCGTCCAGCAGCGATACGGACTTGCCGATTTTCAGTAATCTGAAGAACTACATTGTTATCCAACACATATATGGAGTTATCCATTGGGTTTATAGCTAAATCTGTTGGCCACTCCAGACGCACCTTAACAAAAGAAAAGAGAACAATTGTATTTAGTAACAGATATACAATTTTTGAAGTTTCATGTACTGGCATATGCAAATGCAGCAATCTAAATTATTATCAATTTTAAACTGAAGGCAAACAGATTAACTACAGAAAACAAATAGGCTTGTAAACACTATAATTTGAACATAAAAATATTGTTTGGATTAATATTCTATTGAGGCATAAAAAGCAATCCCAAACCCTTGGAAAAACACCTTTTTTTACTGGTAATGGTCCTGATCTGGTTAATGTTAGAGCAATCCTGAAGTAGTGTGTTGCTCCACCAATTCCAAAGCCCTGCTTGTTCTCCTCAACCAGGAAAAGCACTGGGTCTGAGTGGACTTGTCTTCCCTTATTTCATTTCAGTGGGATGGCAAATGCCTGTGCCAACATGTGGTTGCCACAGGCACAGAGCTCAATCCTGGGGCCTCTTAAGACAATGGAGGTTCCTTGAATCCAACAGAAACAAGGTCTTCTTTACTCTTTGCCATCACATTGCAATTTGGGATCTATTACCACTGTCAGCAGGAGCTTTGTATCTCCACACCTTCAGATAGGCATAAAAGGGGCATCAATGCTGATGATTCATCTGCTGGTGAACCTGCCTCTGCTATCCCAATCTAATCTTTCAAACACAGGCTTCTGGGATGTTAGGATTGCTCTCTTAGTCTCACTAAAAGCAATTAACTGAGCTAAGTTGTTCCATTATTTTAATAAGATCTAGTCATGACTAACTTTAGTTCAGGCTGATATTTGCATTTTGAACTGTATGGACTGGATATAAAATGAGGTAGTCTCAAAATAAAGGTAGGATCTTATTCCAAAGATGACAGAACAATTTATCGGACTCCTATAAACTTCTGCCAAAATAATAGCATTTTTTATCAATGCTGATTGAAAAGCTCAAGAAATCAACAGAAAATAGTGACTTGGTGTTTATAAAAAGATTAATACCATGACATTCAAAAAAGCAGAATAGACACATTAGTAAAAATGCATATTAAAATATCAGAATGCCAGTACTTTTCTAAAATATTTTCTATTCCAGTTATATTTTATTACCATACCACTTTTTATTCCTAAACCATAATTATGTTGTTTTCAGCAAAAATGTAGTACACAATTGGAGATAAAAGCACATTTATGCATGTACAAACATGTTTCTTATGCTGTTGAAGATGGTTATCATGAGGATATACTGTAAATTTATTCATTTCTTAAGAGCTCAATGTTTACTCTGAAGTAAGTACCACTTTCAACACAATGTACCCAATGTTAAGTATGTTTAACATGCTCAATTACAAAACCATAAATGCACTTCACACTGCTTACTTTACATAGAAGTAGGCTAATGTAATCCTTTCGTGATATTGTGTACTGTCACCTGCACAATGTCCCCCAATTTCAGCATTACTCCACTTACCATTTTATTTCTGGAAACCAAAATACACCCATAACATAATCCCCATAATCTATTGAATTTGCCATTGCCATGTCTTTGTAAGTAACCATGTCCCAAGGCTTTTTTTAAAGGACAGCTGCTCTAGGGAAACAACTGTAATTACTTTGAGTGTCAGTGGGTTGACACAAAGCAGGGAATTTTATAGGGAATATTTAACTAAAGACAAGATTTCATAGGGGATTAGAAAAACATCCCACACAATGAAGAATGTTATTTTTTCATTTTTAGTAATAATGGTATTTTGCTTAAAATTTTACTTAATCAATTTATGATACTTGTCTAATACTTCAGATGTTTGCGGTTTAAAATACACTTCTGACGAATTTGAGGTTTTCAGTTAGTAAAATGATCCCAAGTCAAAAGTTTCTATTTTAGGGACTGGGGGAGTTTGCAGGCACACCTATCTATTTCTTACCAAAACGATTCCTGTCTCTTTGCACATGCAGGATTTATAAATACAAAGAGGAACATAACAGACTCTCTTTTGTTCAAGTGTATTCAGGGTGGGTGGGGAGTGGGAAGCAGGGGAATCTTAGCCTAGGCAAGGTTAGCAGACTCCTCCCTACATTTGTCATCTGCCAGAGGGCTGTTTGTTGTTGCTGGTTATATGAAGTAAAGGGATGGAACCATAGCTGTTTCCCTCCAGTGAACTTCCTAAGAAGAAGGGTTGTTTTGGTATATGCTAACACACACACAGGTTGTTCCAAATGAAAAGTGTCGATCTTAAATGAAAACATAGATCTACTTGAAAAATACCTGGCTAATATGCATGCTGGTGTCACATGTTAGAGGTCGTGCTGAAGTCAGGTCATTTGAGCCAAGTAAGGTTGATATTATTCCATTCTGGTCCACTTTTCTGATCATGGTTCCATCAACAAAGTAGATTAAACCATTCTTATCTATTGCTACTCCTTAAGTAAAAATCAAAACAAAACCAAGAGTTTATTCTTGTTCTCCTTCATAATAATTTTTTTCTTGTTCTGTTTGTTCATTACCATTTTCTGCCTTCCCACAGAATTATTCTGAGGATTTTAACAGAAACTACAGGTTTTAAAGATTATATGCAATCTTATAAATTTAATTGGCTAACATTTAGGGTACAAACTTACCGTCTTTACCAGTTATAACTGGCACACAGGAACAGTGTTTATAAATAAAAACATTGTACATGCTGGTGCAATCTACCACCCATTGTTTAATTGTTTAAGCAATTCATTACACTGTGGCCTGGAATCTTTGTAATCTGTGCAATATATTTACAGAATGTGAAATATATTTGAATTGCATGATAATGAATGGCAAATGATTACTGAAAAATAATTTAATTTTCTTTTTTTGCAATTTTACTTTTGGATGGCTTTGCCATTCTCAAACTGAACTGAACTAAAGCATGTGACTGCAATAGCAGTGTTAAATGCCATTCTGTGTGCTGACTGAATTGTGTTCTGCTCATAGATCAACAGTTTTCTCCACCTTTGGGACTCATGAGAGTTGCTTCTACAGCTTTGCCACCATCGCCACATCTTGCTTCATCAAATGGAAGGCACTGCTCTCCAGTCCCTGCTACCACATCAGCATTTTTTGTCAGGTCCTTTGTCCCAGTGAGTGACTTTGGACGATAAATCCTTCGAGTGTTCGTGTCAGAAACATATAATTCTCCTGTTACTGGGTCAGTTGCAAGGTAGTATCTATGAGCTGGGTTACTGCTGCAGAGATAAAAAAAAGTGTTTCAGCATAACAAGCAATCTGCAATATATATAAAATATGCTTTACATTTTACATGTTGAATTATAAACTGGAGAAGGATAAGAAAATAGGTAGAGACTGGCAAACATTCTAAGCTGTGGTGAAAGTTATTTCCAGTGATTAATGAGTGATTAATCATGAAAACAAATGTGACAGAATGTATTAAATATCTGCTTAAAACATCTCTGCTGTAGTGCTATATATCCATCTTATTCCACTTTGCACTGCAAGAGTTTTAAGAAACCCTAAGGAAAGCAAGATATGCTTGCTCTTTGTTCACTGGAGGCTGTTTTCAGGGGTAGGCTGAGAGGGAAAAGGTTGCTATGCACAAATCATTCCTTCGCACTTCAGGGCAAACATCCTTAGCTTCTGTCCTGTTCTATTAATCTGTGAATATTGGGAGGTATCTGGAGTGTTAGCTTCAAATCAGCAGAGTCCATTTTCAAATTATTCCTATGTCAATATCTCTTTACTGCAAGTAATCCAAGTACATGTAAACCTGACTACATGATTCATTATATTCATAAATACATAACAGATTGTTCATAATACTGATAAGGCGGCATTCTTTGTACTACTGGACATGATTTGACACATGAGGACAAATTTATATGCCCTCTGATTTGTAAGTGAATGGTCTTTTTTCTCAAATGCTCACAAACATTCACATAAAATCCCTGAATATGCTGTCACATGCTTCTAGGAAATAAAGCTATTTTTCAACAAACACATTGCACATAGCTCCATAAACCTTGCACAATGAAAACATTTCTCTTCTGTGGAACAAGTAGCTCCAGAGAATATATTTGTTGCTCAGAATTATGATCTAGAAGTGCAACTAGCTGCATCTATGACAGAAGATTTGAGTTATGGATTGAAGAACTAAAATACAGCTAGCCATGTCAGATGGCCCTGCTAACGCACAGAGCCCAAATGCCAGGACACACAGTTCATGTCTAATGTATTTCCAAATGCATTATAGAATGTATCTACCCATCTTGGTGATATTTGAACATCTGTTCACAAAATGTAGTGTCTCATACTTCATCAACATAACACAGTGCTAATGTAACACATTTCATGTACTTCTTATTAAAATAAAAGAGAACAACTTAAAGAAGTTGTGAACAAATTTCATCCTTAATTTTTTAAGCATTCTCTGAGTTGTATCCAATAGTGTCATGCTGCTAGTGGAAGTATTCTATCACTTGTGGAAATCAATTTTCATCCTTTTGAAAGTTGTGATAATGACAGTTTGATTCCATGTGTGCAAGCCATTGTACAAGGTGTTTAACAACTCAGTGCTACTTCATTAGCTGAATATTAGCCATGCAACTGGTTTTGTTAGTGCTTGTGCGGCTAGACTGGCTGTGGAATAAAGAGTGAATTACAATTAGGATGTTAATAAGGAATATCTATCAAAGTAGTGATCTCTCTGATTGGCAGAGTTAACTCTTGCCTATATCAGGATTTAATTCTAAACTATATCTCTCCCATTCATTTGGTCTCAAAAGGGGCTGACACTCAGAGAAGTAAGACATTACATAATCTGTTTGTCTGGCTTGATGATAAACCACTGGATTGATGAACTCACACTTCTCCCCCTCTGACCCTCCTTGTACTACAGTGCCTTCCCATGAACCAGAAGCAATCTAGTTCTCACCAGCTGCTTGGCTAATCATGCTTGTTAACCTTGGCATTTCAATAATGCATTCTATTACCTTCTCCTCTTTCTCTAGCTCACCTTTAGATTCAGAGCTCTACAGTCTATTAGGCACAGATGACAGGCTGCTTGGGGCTCCCTACCTACCGTCAGTATACTCTGCAAATCCAAATACACTGCAATCTGAACTGCCTTCTCCCAAGCAAGCTGAGACACCATCAAAGATCTCTTTAGTTCCTTCTCAGTGTGGACAATAAGGCTTTTGCAGAGTGTATGACATTTATCTATCTGCTAACTTGGAGACAGACAAGGCAAATGGTAACAACGAAAGTGAATTATGGAGTAACTCTACTTGGAGACAGTGTCACATTAAGAACAAAACCACTGTATGTGTGTCAGCATGAACAGGGATGAACAAATGAATGCACCAATGTTTGCTGCTTATTTTTCTGTCCAGGTTCAGTTCAAATATGACCTCTATTAAAAAGCAGGTCCCAATCAGGGAAGAGAAGTATCAGTCATTTATGGAATATTGCCACAATCCAGTGCAAGCACAAGGAGCTTCATCAGGCAAGGACTGCTGTATTCATTTCAATAGAAGGGGCAGATTTGGGCATGGATAACTACACACTGAGGTGCAAACAGATCTGTACCGTATTGATGAAAATGCAACCTTTCTTTCAGATCTTCCTGAAAGTGTTTTATTGTGAAATGGTCTTAGTCAAGGAATATATAGGCAGCCTCCAGGGCTACTTCATCAAGTTACACTTTTAGGAAAGATCCTGCATTTAGAGTGAGTGCTTTTCTGGAGTGGTTGCTCATATTATTTCTCATCTGGACTTCTTTTGCATGACAATAGATCAGGAAATCAAAAAAGTCATTTGCTACAGCAGGCAGGTGGGGACAGTGTGGTGATAGCACCCACAGGAGCCTTTCCTGTATGTGCGCATGTGCGTGCACATGTGTATGTGGGTAGGGGAAATTTGGTGTTCCTTCTGATCTGCTGCCTGAGTAGGGATTCACCATACCTCATGGAAGTGCCAGACCTGACTATGCAGTATCTGCTCAGAGAAAGCAAAGCTCATTAATATAGTGGATGTGGCAACAGAAACAAGGCAAGTTGTTGTATTGTAAAGGTTGAAGCAAAGAGACACAGGACAACCAGTTAGGCCAGATGTACATAACTTATTATACATAACTTATTATTATACATAATTATTATAAATAAATAAATAAATGTTATTATACATAACTTATGTAACTTGTTACATAAGGCAAGACCATAATAAAAGTTTTGCTTAAAAATGCAAGTGAGACTTGAAGTTGAAAATCATAGAAGCAAGTTGCCATTATCTGACGGCAAGAGGAGGGCAAGGAGATATGATGAAGGAAAAGACCTAGCAGGGAAAAGGAAAATAATTTCAATCTATCTTTAAAGCTGTTGTTGTTAGTCGGGAAGTCGTGTCCGACCCTTCGCGACCCCATGGGCAACACTCCTCCAGGCCTTCCTGTCCTCCGCCATCTCCCGGAGTCCACCCAGCTCACACCAACTTCTTCAGTGATTCCATCTATCCACCTCATCCTCTGCCATCCCCCTCTTCTTTTGCCGTCAATTGTTTCCAGCATTAGGGCCTTCTCCAGTGAGTCCTTCCTTCTCATTAGGTGGCCAAAGTATTTGAGTTTCATCTTCAGGATCTGGCCTTCTAAAGTGCAATCAGGGTTGATCTCCTCTAGGACTGACTGGTTTGACCGCCTTGCAGTCCAAGGGACTCGCAGGGGTCTTCTCCAGCACCACAATTCAAAGGCCTCAATTCTTCGGCGCTCAGCCTCCCTCCCTCCCTCCCTTCCTTGGGGTGGCTCACAATAATAAACACAATGATCCAGCTTTCACAGCCATACATTGCAACTAGGAAAAACATAGCCTTGACTATATGCACTTTTGTTGGCAGGGTGATGTTTTTTAGTATGCTGTCTCTGTTTTTCAGTATGCTGTCTAGATTTGCCATAGCTTTCCTCCCCAGGAACAAGCGTCTTTTAATTTCTTGGCTGCATGCACCGTCTGCCGTGATACTGGAGTTCAGGAAAATAAAATCTGTCACTACCTCCATTTCTAGTCCATCATCTAGCCCAGCCTTTTGCATGATGTGCTCTGCATGTAAGTTAAATAGGCAGGGTAACAATATACAGCCTTGCCGAACTCATTTCCCAATTTTGAACCAATCAGTGCTTCTGTGTCCAGTTCTCACTGTTGCTTCTTGACCCGCATAGAGGTTTCTCAAGAGACAAATAAGATGGTCTGGGACTCCCATCTCTTTAACAACTTGCCACAATTGGTTGTGATCCACACAATCAAAGGCTTTAGCATAGTCAACAAAGCAGATGTTTTCTGGAACTCCCTAGCTTTCTCCATGATCCAGCGTATGTTGGCAATTTGATCTCTAGTTCCTCTGCCTCTTTGAAATCCTGCCTGTACTTCTGGTAGTTCTCGGTCCACATACTGCTGAAGCCTAGCTTGTAGGATTTTGAGCGTAACTTTGCTAGCATGTGAAATGAGTGCAATAGTGCAAACATTTTTGGCATTGCCCTTCTTTGGAACTGGAATGTAAACTGACCTTTTCCAATCCTGTGGCCACTGTTGAGTTTTCCAAATTTGCTGACATATTGAGTGTAGCACTGCAACTGTATTGTCTTTTAGGAAATGAATAGCTCAGTTGGGAATACTGTCTCCTCCACTAGCTTTGTTGTTGCTAAGACTTCCTAAGGCCCATTTGACTTCACATTCCATGATGTCTGGCTTGAGGTCGGCGACCACCCCATCAGGGTTATCAGGGACGTTAAGTTCTTTCTTGTATAGTGCTTCTGTGTAATCTTGCCACCTCTTCTTAATCTCTTCTGCCTCTGTTAGGTCCCTGCCATTTTGGTCCTTGATCATGCCCATCTCTGCATGAAATGTTCCCTTCATATCTCCAATTTTCTTGAAGAGATCTTTAGTCTCTCCCCTATTCTATTGTTTTCTTCTATTTCTTTGCACTGTTCATTTAAGAAGGCATTCTTATCTCTTCTAGCTATTCTCTGGAATTCTGCATTCAATTGGGCATATCTTTCTTTCCCCCTTGCCTTTTGCTTCCCTTCTTTCCTCAGCTATTTGTAAAGCTTCCCCAGACAGCCATTTTGCTTTCTTGAATTTCTTTTTCTTTGGGATATTTTTCTGAGTTGACTGTCTGGTGATGTCCATGTGTAGAGTCATCTCTTGGGTTGTTGGAAAAAAGGGTTTGCTATGACCATTGTGTTCTCTTGACAAAATTCTGCCAGCCTTTGCCCTGCTTCATTTTGTACTGCAAGGCCAAACTTGCCTGTTACTCAGGTTATCTTTTGGTTTCCTACTTTAGCATTCCAATCCCCCATGATGATACGGACATCATTTTTTGGTGTTATTTCTAGAAGGTGTTGTAGGCCTTCATAGAACTGGTCAGCTTCAGCCTCTTCAGCACCAGTGGTTGGGGCATAGACGTGGACTACTGTGATGTTGAATGGTTTGCCTTGGATTCGAACTGAGATCATTCTGTCACTTTGGAGATTGTATCCCAGTACTGCTTTTCCTACTCTTTTATTGACTAAGAAGGCTACTCCATTTCTTCTGAGGGATTCTTGCCCACAGTAGTATACCTGATGGTCATCTGAATTAAATTCACCCATTCCTGTCCATTTTAGTTCACTGATTCCTAAGATGTCGATGTCCAGTCTTGTCACCTCGTTTGACCACATCCAGCTTATCTTGATTCATAGATCTTATATTCCAGGTTCCTATGGAGTATAGATCTTTACAGCATCGGACTTTCCTTTCACTACCAGATACATCTGCATTTGAGTGTCCTTTTGGATTTGATCCAGTCGCTTAATTCTTTGTGGCACTACTAGTACTAGCCCTCTGCTCTTTCCCAGTAGCACACTGGACACCTTCTGACCTGAGGGGCTCATCTTCCGGCATCATTATCTTCTTGCCTTTTGGTACTGTCGATGGGGTTTTCATGGCAAGGAGTGGGTTACCATTTCCTTCTCCAGTGGATCAGCTTTTGTCAGAGCTCTCTACTATGACGTTTCTGTCTTCGGTGGCCCTGCACAGCATAGCTCATAGCTTTTTTGATCTACACAAGCCCCTTCACCACAGCAAGGCAGTGATCCATGAAGGGGTTTAAAGCTGTAGAAGACAGGAAGTGGCAACACACAGGCCACAGGATGCTCCTAGTCCTTTTTTATGGGACCCAATACCCTCAAATCACCATCACTGCACTGCCAAATAGTGCAAAATCATTCTCTGAGGCTTTAGAGAATATGATTTTTCATTACCCCAAGGTGCATGCTTGGGGTAAGGCATCTTGTTTTAAGGCAGCACTGTGGCTACTTTCTCTGCCAAGGTGATTTCACTGTTGCAGTCTCTGGCAGGTCTTGGGAGGGGTGGAGGGAATTGACTCCTGGATTCTTCAGTGTTGCTTAATTCTAATCTAACCTTTCCATTTTCCCTGAGTTCAGTTACCACCCCAGTTTTCAAAGGGAAATGGTTGTCCTTAAAGTGCAGGAAGGCTGACATGGGTGAAAGCAATCCTTCAAATAATTTGATCTCAACCTGTTTAAGGACTTAAAGGTCAAAGAAGCACTTTAAATAGGGCCTGGAATCACAGAGCTGCAGCAATACAGGCAATTTATGATCTGTCCCCTTTGACCCCACCAACACCGAGGTGGTTGCATTCTGTACCAGTTGATATTTATGAGCCATTTTCAAAGGCAGTCCAAGTAGAATGCACTATAGTAGCCGAGACATCCCTAGTGCACAGATAATGAAGGCAAGGTCTATCCTCTCCAGATAGATAATGCTACAGGTGAAGTGTTGGCCCAAGCTGGAAAAATGCACCCCTGCACATTGCAGCCACCTGAACATCTGCAGTTAGTGCTCCAGGAGCACTCCCAAACAGAACCTTATATAATTATATGAAATGTACCGTAATGCACAGGTTAGTATTATTTTACATTTGTTACACATTAAAATAATGTGCAATACAGTGTTCTGTGTGTTTAATTTCATAACACCTAAGAAGTACTTTTGTTATTGTTGTTGATGTGTTTTTTGTTTTTTGAAAAGATTCTACATGAATCTGAAAATTTCAGCTATGATGAGTAATGGTTCCATAGTTCGAATTAGTCTTTACCACTAGGGCTATAAATGAACATGTGTGTGTAAATCTGGTGGAGGCTTCTGACAAGCACATTTCTGACATGAGTTTAGAGAAACTGTTACAATAGTAAGACAGTTTTGAAAATGACACTAGCTCTGCTGTTTGCTAGCCACATGCAAGACATATGAATCTCTGAAGAATAATCATTAGCATGCTTCAGGAGAATCCAACATCACTGAAAATAACCTCCATTCATGAGACTTCAAAGGCTTGACACAATCTCTGGGCTCTTGAGAGAGACAAAAAAAATATTGGCTGCCTGTAAAAAGGCAATTTTTTTAACTAATGCAAGACATTTCTTCTTTCTACTCAAACAAAATCTTTGCCATCATGTAGGCATGACAAGGTATACTTGGTGTAGTGAAAATCTGTCACAGTCAGAAAAATATTCCATTTCTGCCACTGCAATGGCCTCTGCAACTCTTGCTAGTCCTTTGGGGAATTGCTCGAGTATGCACACTCTCAAAGAAGTTGAGACCCAAATAAGCAGAGTCTTGTCTTACTCCCACAGGCAGCTTCTTTTTGTTGCAGAACCATGCTGGTCTACCCAGAAAATGTACCTCATGCAACACTGAACATGTGACTCTCTTTGGTTTTCAAAACCAAAAGAACTGTTCCACTAAAGACAACCAAACCACCCCGAAGAGTGAATTAAGAAATGCCGATAGCTTTTCCTATTAAAATCATAACAGAAAAGTCATGTCTAAGATTATGACAGTGTAAAATATATTAGTAAAAGAAAGAAAACATGTTTTACTTGGCAGAAGTTCTACATTCCACTATATATGTAGTAATACATACATTTTGCATTTTATAGCATTATTTTTTTTTTAATTGTGAGTTAAAAAAAACTTTTTAGGGAATTTTCAAGTATCACTATGTTGTCATGGGTAGATAACAGTGATTTAAAAAAAAAACAAAGCACAGTAATGAACCATCAGGAGCATATAATATGAGAAAAAATGATCACAGTGTGAAAATTATATTCAGTCAGGGGGAAAATGTTCCTTGCTGACACTACACAAAACAGCATATGTGAAACATTAATTCTTAAACATAAAACCCTTCTACAATTAAGGTAGAAAACACACATGGAACAGGATAACCAGCAGCAGAATAGTTCTGAAGAGAAACCAGGCATAGGAAAAAAGACACGAAATGCAGGTCTCCATAGATTGATGTATAATGAGAACTTGGGGGGCAGGCAAGGGTGTGCACAGTTGAGATGACTGACAATAAAAAAAGAAATGAACACACATATAAACAGCTAGGACTTCTGAATGTCACCCTGCCTTTTCCATGCCATATTTGGCAGCAGTGCCACACAGAAACAGAGCAATGCTTGCACCCTGCAAGTTATTCCATTCCCCAGGGATTTCCCCCCTTTTCTCTGTGCTCAAGAATGTCAAGAAAGTGCTGTGCTCCCAGTTTTCTCTCCTCTTGATGGATGTGCCTAGCCAAAATTTTGCAAGAAGCACCGACTGTTTCCTTTTTGGGAGCATGTCTTAGAGCCGGAGCACTGGTCAATCTAGCTGAGAACTGTCTTCACCGACTGGCAGGATCACTCCAGGGTATCATATTCTTTCCCAGACACATCTGAAGAGACATATGCTCTACCAATGAGCTATAATGATTCCCATGTTCTTATTTTGCACTTAGACATAGGCATGCTTCACACATGCATGTACATTACTTGATCCTGTATTACACTTAATGACTGACATGGTCTCCTCACACTGCAAACACACTGCATTTCAGGTGATATGAGCTAACAGGATAATTCTGCCTGTGGTATCCAAGACACCGAAAAGGGAATAAGGAGAGCCTAAGACAGCAGTGATGACTGGAGCAGACATTATTGAAAAGAAAATAAGGGCAATGAAATAGACTGTGCAAAGGAAATAAGAATGAAGGAAAACAAGCAACACTATTCATGAAACTATTCATTCATTTTAGACATTTATACTTTGCCTTTTCCTGGAGCAGCATACAATAAAAGATAACCATTTTAATTAGGAAAAGGAAAGAATTTAGTTTATATTGAATAGTAGCAATTTTGCTGCTACTGAAAATGCAACTATTCTGATTTATGTCAAAAGTGGTAGTTATTTTTAAAGAGGTCTCAGTTCTTATGAATTTAACAGTTTACAGCCCTTCAATTCAGTAGATTTTTTTCCTTTCTTTTAATGGGAAAAACACTTAGACCAAATATGAACACGGTTAAAATGCTTACCTATGTCTAAAATCTTTATTTCTTGATGGGAAGGCAATAAAAGGAAGAGCAAAAGGACAGTATTAGAGAAAAAAAGTTGGAGGAATTGTTAAAAGATGAACAGTAAATAGGTAATGATGCAGGTAAGGTTGCTGATTACGATTCTGCTCAATCAGTTTGATCATCTGAATGGCTCAGATACTTTGACAGCTATCAGCATAAGTAACACTTGAGAAAATATGCCATTTCTCTTCAACTTCATTTTAAATAGAAATTTAATGCATTTGCATTTTTATTAGACTGTTCAGATGCACAGGAGACATAAGCCTTTTTCAGGTATTATTAACCAGCTCACCTCCTGTGAGTAGGGAATGTGGCTGCACCCCATGGCCCTGACCCTGCGGTCACCTCCTGGGTATTTATACTGAAGTGTGAACATCAGGAGAGGTGTCATTGCATACAAGACATTGCAGTCAGGACTACCGTGTGCAGCCCCACTCTCCACTTGCTAGTTAAATAATGTCCAAATGGAGCCATGGCATTATAAAACTATTAATTTAACAGGGCTTAATCCTGAATCCAAGTGTTTAGAAAAAGATATACCTTAGCTCAAGAACACTTGTTACATTTCCAGATGGGAATATCCGCCGAACATAGTTGAAATCACCTACATACAAGCTTCCATCAATTCCGCAAGCCAAGGCAACTGGAGCCAAAAGCTTATTGCCATCTGCTTGACCGTTGCAACTCGGGCAAGAAATGCTACGTCGCCGACCATTGCCCATTATACTACTGACAACTGGTGGCTGCTGAGAGATGAACTGATTTTCCCCATTGCCTTTGTAGAGGATACCTGAAGAAAACACGAATACAATTTTCCACATGACAAGAATGTTTATGCAGTGAAAGGCTTTGAATATATTTATGTTCAATACAATTTTACTGCGGTTATATTTCACGAGTGCTGGAATCCTCAAAGTGCTCACTAGTAGTTACTGCTTTTGTTGCTTGGTTGATATTCAGAAGTAGCTTGCCTATAAAGACTGGGTGCTGCTGCCAGGGAACAGACAACATAGGACTGCTGCACATGCAGCCATCTCATGCATGAATCTTTCAGTTTTAGTTCATGAGTGTGGCTTCTTGTGAAAATCCATGAAAATACGACTTGCCCTTAACCATTCATATTAACTGTCAAGCTCAATAAATAATCAGGGCAACCACAACTAGACAAAACATATTGAAAAGTAAAAAGAAAACTGAACTACTTTATATTTGGCTTTCAAGGTTAATCCTATAGATGTCTATTTAAAAAGAGTCAGGTTGCTTACCTGTAACTGTCATTCTTTGTGTAGTCAACTGTGTATTCACACATTTGGGATCTGTGCCCGCATGGAGTCTGTTGCCAGGAGGATTCTACAGCTAAGTGTTTGATTGAGCAGGAGCCCTTTCCCTTCTAGGTGTACATGGGAGGGCCCCCTACCCATTCCCTCAGTTCTATTGAGCCAGCTTATAGGTCTCAGGCCCAAGGTAGGAAAGTTGTGCTGCCCCTGCTCAGGGGGCCAGTCATTTGAGGTGTGAGATGGTGGAGGAGGAACTTATCTCAAGGTCATCATCTCTAGGTGTTCAAGCAGATTCTGGGAACCAAGAGCATTTGGAAGTGCTAGGAAGGGACACAGGGGAGGAGCCTGTAGAGCATAGCCTGACCCATGACATGGCAGTAGAAGAGAAAGATGAGCCAACTATAGAGCCTGCGTAGATCTAGGAGGCTTGCCCATCTCCACAGAGGCACATCCAGGGTTATTGGATGGCAGGGTCCAGGGTTACTGAAAAGGAGGGTTCTTGGAAATAGTCCCTAGTTTAGGTTCAGTGTACCTCCCTGGGCACGTTCAGGGACCGTTTCTTTGCTGGCTAATAGTTTTCTGGATGTAAGTTGGAAAAAAAAAAGAGTTTTTGCTGAAGAACTTTCCATCCAACATGCGGACTTGACAATGACCTCTTTTTTCAGCCTCTTTGAAGTGAAGCACACTGCTAAAGGGGCCTTCCATGTCTGCCAGATTGTCTGCAGCAGTGTGGGAAGCAGCAATATTGCCACCAATGCTAAGTCTTCTGTGTGTATGGCATTGAAGACCAGTTCTGTAACTTAGTCTTGCAGTTACATCTCTTAAGCCCAAGGGAATTTGCCATTCTGAGGATGGGAATCTGGGAATCTGCCCATCTCCTCCAATGGAGACGCCAGCTCCTGCATGGTGACAGCAGTGTCGAGTGAGCCAATAGATGGGGCCCACAATGATGCTGATTCTGAGCCAAATACATAAACCTTGGGGTCTGATGATGGAGAGATGATGGAGAGTTCTTGGGAGTCTCAGAGTTGGCACTGTCTGAGACTGCAGTTGGTATCATCTGGTGGGTACTGAGTCCTCATAGAGGCTTCGGTGGGAGAAGCATCATGGTGGAGAGATAATGGCTGGTTCAACTTCCTAGCATTCACTGGCTCTATTTTGTGGTTAGTAGTCCCAGATGTCCTCTTAATATTGATGCTGAGGACTGTGGGGAGCTCACATGGCACCTGTGCTTTTCCTTGGTGATAGCCATCTTTTTTGTGTGTTTGGTGCTTTCCTGGTCTTGCAATCTTCCTATGAGCAACTTGGCAGGGTCAGTTAGAGCTCTTGCTGTGGCTGATAAGGGTCTGGATGGTGTTGCCAGTCAGGGTGGATGGCTGGTTGGCTCCAATTGGTGGAGTTGGCAGCCTATAGGGCCCTGCTCCAGATTTCAGCCATCAGTTCATTTGTCCTATTTTTTCAGGCCTGTTTTGTATATGCCTGGTAGTGTGGGAAGGCATTGACAACATGCTCCTTTTCCAAGCAAAAAAGGCAAAACAACTGCCTATCCACATGGAGGAGTTTGCTCCCACAGTAGATGTACTTTTGAAAAGCAGCCTTTGAAGCTATTGTGGTAGATGGGGAAGGTGGAGAGTAAAGTGAAGAGAGTTTGATAGAAGATGCAAGGAGAAAAAAAGTGGAAAAGTTTTTGTTTTTGTTTAATGATGGGCAAAGAGTGAAAAAGAAGCTTTTCCAGTGAAAGCCATGGGTAAAAGTGGCTGAGTGGAGAAAAAAAGGGAGGGGACAATAGATAGAGGTAATAAAAAATGCTAAAAATACTCAAGTTGGAGAGAAAAGTGCTTCCTGATCTAGGCACAATGGTGGCTGAAAAGGAACTGAGGAAATTTGTGGGAGCCTCTCCAATGTATACCTGAAACAGGGAGGGGAGGGGAGGGGAGGGGCTCCTGCCCTAACAAAAGCTAAGCTATAGATTCCTCCCAACAACAGGCTCCACGCAGGCACAAAGCCCATTTGTGTGATGCACAAGGGACATGAAGAAGAACTCCTAATTATGTCAATAGAACTTGCTACTAGGAAAGTGGGCACAGAACTGTAGCCTTCGGGACAGATACAAGGGCCCAATCCAACAGGTGTCAGTGCTTGTGCACATGGGTGCTAATGCATGCATTTCTCAGAGCTCAAACCTCTACTCCAGGAACCAAAATTAAGCATATGCAATCCCTAATGAATACCTTGAAAAGTAAGCAATGCTCTGGGGACTGAAACTAATGCCATGGTTCTCATCCATCTATCTGGATAACAAGAACTATTAAGATTATTTGAGCACATGGGAAATGAATGCATAGCACCTTTTTGCATGCATATTTCCTTGTGTTAGACTGGGTTAAGTATTGGATTGGTTTGGTTTAGTCAGGTTCATAAACTGCAAACACACATGCTATAAGGTATTATAGGTATTACTTTATAACAAGTAACTGTTAAGAACTATTTGGCAACCTCAATTTCACTTTGCAAAATGGTCTTATAAAATGTACAAGAATAATTTAGTTTTGGTCACAGAGTCTTGCTTTATAATGTATCTTCATTTCTGCAGTCATATGTCAAACATAACAAAAATGTTTTGGCAAGCCACCTGCCCTTTAAACTGCATTCAGCTTTAAGTTATCAACAGTCATTGGGAAAGGACAAAGTACTTTGCCAACATCATTTTTACAGCATTCACAGGATACATGGGGAAGCAATATACGTGCCCAATGCTAGGCTTTCACAACTAGAACAATATTCTTTGAGCCATGACCAGTATCTTCATTATTATCCAGATCAATGACTCAATCAAGGTCTGCTGCAAGAACTGTCAGCTATTATTGTTCCACCCATTCCACAGTAAATCTCAGTATGGTATAATCCATGCAAACCACATGCCACTTTGTACTGTAGAGCAATATTTGTTTTATTGACTAAGTGTTCAGCATTTCAAAGACAATGCTGGAGCTAATGATTATACTTTCTTCCCACAACAACTCTTAAAATACATTTACAAAGTTTTAAAACTGCTTTCTCTACCCCAAGGCTACTTTTAAGTCAAATTTCAATGGGTAAATATTTCCCATAAGGATACCATGTGTTCTGGGTTCTACCAATTACATTTCTAATGCCATGCAATATCAGACTGATGGAGAAAGTCTGCATAATGAAATATGGGAATATGAAAATGGCTTATGAAAATGGAAAAGAGAAGCCACGTAAATAAGGCTGCATCATAACAGTGCACGGAATACATTTTCCCATGAATAGTTAGAATGAGAATGCATTAATGGAAGCTGAAATCCCCCTCCTATGATTACATCATTTATGACAATCAGGAAACCATAATTTTACTGAAATAGCTGAGTTCTATAATTTTCATCAGAGATACCATACAAGTCAGCACTCAGCACTATGGCACCTGATTTATTCTGTCATTACTTTGAAAAATTGCCCCTTCACATCTCTCTTCTATTACTACAGAGGGGAAAGACGAACATTAGAATATTTATTGCAGTGATTCAGGGTGTCCGTATAAACACCCGTCACTGTCTTTGCTCCCTTGTGAATAAATTTTCGAAGCTCATCCACCCTGACATTACAACTAGCCACTTCATTTATTCAATTAGACAGGCATCGCTTTGAAAAGTCATTGCTTGTCAAACTGTCTCCCGAGCATAAATTTAAGCACATAGCTGACTCACCGTATGAACAGAAACTACCTCCCATCCCCCCAAAAGACAGGCTGAATACACACATAAATACCATAAAGCTTAATCCTCACTTGTTTGATGCTAGTTCCCAGGCAATGTTGGAATGGTAGCTGTCAATGGTACACTTTTCACTTGTTAACCCTCGCCTCAATTGACATGTATTATATACACATGACAAAATCTCACAATGGCTAAAATCAAGAAACAATATTGTTTGAATAAACCCTCGATCAGTTTTTAGTTGTTCTTTGAATTTCATTTGTTTCTGCATCAATTGTCCTCCTTTCTTCTTTATAATGGGTTATGCCTTGAACCTGTTTGATTGTAGAAGGATGATATCTCTGAAGAAAGGCTTAAAACTTTAAATATAACCCCCTGTCTATCTTAAATCTTAGGAAATGTCTTTCAGCTGCCCTAACACCCATAATATATTGTCTAGTCAGCACCAGTGCTCATTCATTTTCTGGAGACAGTACACGTAATCGAGTAAAGGAATTTACTTAAGAGCATAGGATTGTACCGTTACTAAACTCTTATTTCAGATATTTTCCAATGTGTCATTACTGCCTATAGTTAAATAGTAGCCATATTTCATTCTAAAGCTGGCAGCATTCTACCTGGTATGAGCATTACTATATTCATGTAGCCTTTCTGAAGATGGAAGAAAATACGTATAAAGATTACATATTACATTACAATTGTGGCTGGTCATATTAATAACTGTCCCAATATATTTTAGCTTCTGATGAATTAAGAAGCTCCCCAAGGTTTTAACCAAACCATTTATTCAGAATAAATTCTGACTGGTACCACAGAATTCAGAGACATGTAAGTCCTAGTACATGCACCGTGAACCTCAGTTTTAGCAACTAAAAAGCACTAGACATTTTGTACTGTGTCAACATTAATGGATTCATTTTTTTTCTTTTTGCCTGCTGTACTCTGCTGAGATGCAACACTTCTCTTTTCAGTGGAAGCCATATTACTCCCATCATGCCAAGTCCCAAGCTAAGAGAATATGGAGTAGGGAAGGAAATGTTTGTTCTCATGAGACCTGATGTGGGGAAAGAGAATGAGTAGGAATTGTGAAGGGCACTATTACCTCCCTGCTGAACCACAAGAGGCTAAAGATATCAGGTGATCCATTGATTTTAGTCTTTTGCTGCCAGAAGAGAAGCTTATAGTAATTTTTCTCCACAAAGCACTTAAGCCTGAGTACAGATGAATTGGGGCACAATCGAAAGACACAATTAAAGGGGGAATTGGTGGAGAAAGACAGGTGAAGAAAATTGGTCAAGCAGAGAATACTGGGCAGAGGGGGAAGGTGTTATTTTAGTTTTAAAGGAAACAATCGCAGTGAGACATTTCATGGGAGAGCTATGCACTGATAAGCAGCAAGGTGATAAAATGCTCACAAAAGCTAGATGCAAAAATCCTGAATCTGGAAAGAAGAAACAGAGACAGCAAGGGGATAAACAAGGGGAAGACTGATGCAGTGGAGTAAAAGAATGAGGATATGTAAAGAGAGCAAAGGGATCCAATGGTGAAGCTGTTGTACAAGCTTGAATAACAGTGATTTGGCAACTGAAAAGAAGCAGAAATGTTCATTTCTGGGATGAAACAGGTTGCAGAGGATGTCTAAGGGACAAAAATGGTGGTGGAGCCTGCAAGTGAATGAACAGAACTGGCTACTGCTCATGGGAAGCTTAGAATGCAGTCCTATAGTTTCAGAAGCTGCAGCTCCAATAGCCTTTGAATTATGAGCTGGAACTCAGAAGGCTGAGCCTCTGCTCTGTCCTCTTATGGAAAGAGCCATGCCAACTGTTCCACCCCAAGGTTGCAACTGGGCTTGCAGAGGGCATGTTGGAAGATGGAGAGGAGAGGAGGCTGGCACTGAGGAATTATGCCTATTACACAGCTTCCTGTGCCTCCCTTTCTCAATGCTTTATGTAGATAACCAAAAACAGCCATTTAGGTAAAACAGAATGTGAGGCATAGAAGCAGCACTTGACCAAGGAAAAACCAATATAAAGATTGATTGCATCATGAATGAATGAATAACCAAGTACAAGAAATTAAAAAAGGTGAAAATATATGAACCACTTATCATGAGTCAAGGTTCCTCCCCTCTCCATTTATCCTCACAACAGCCTTTTAATGTAGGTTAGGCTGAGAGTCTGCAACTGGACCAAAGTCACCACTGAGCTTCATGGCTGAGTGCTGATTAGAGCCCAGCTCCTGAATCCCAGTCCAACACTCTCACCACTAAACCCAAGTTATCTGAGCATCAGTTTGGTATAAACAATTATGATGATTGTGTTGTGAGGTATAAACCTTTTTCTACAAGAATTCATGGAATGTATTTCTATAAAATACATCCTCCCATCAAATATTGGGATGAAGAATGAATTAGTTTTAGAGAATACTCATTTCTTTGCATGGGGTGGGGGTGGAGCTATTGAGAAAATACAATAAGAAGTGGTATTGTGTGAGGAATATGCCCTGGGGCTTGGCTCCCTAGTCTCCAGTCTGCTTTCTTTTAGCTGCTTTCTTCTGCTTTCTCACCAGAAAGCTATGAGTCAGACTTTCTGGTGGGTATACTGAGCTCTTGTGTGGTGCTTGGCAGGAACTGAATCCCTCTCAACCACTATGCAAGTGGTGTCTCTTTTCCACCCATGTGACCTGCAGGTTTTGTTTGTCCTGCATGTGATGCAGAAGAGGCTGCCAGTCATGCAGTCAGAGTTCCATGAGTGCTCATGGACTTCTTTTCAATTTGGCTCACTTCCTAAGACAAGGCTGAGCCTGAGAGCTAGTTTGCAAACTGAAGAGGGACAAATGCTGGGGAGCTTCATCACAACACTAATATGGAGAGAATTAATCATGATAGTTTTGCCTTGCATTGTTCTATGGAAATACGACTGTTTAGGAGGGAGATATAAACATAATGTTCTTCCATATGAAAAGTGTAAAAAATGTCTGATTTTGAAACAGTCTTCTTGTTCATAAGTTCATCATGAATGAAGTTAAAGGGAACTCTAGAATAGCAGGAATGTGAATATTCATTAATTTATGAATTAACTAAATAACTTAAGAAAGCTATTAAGATCAATGGTAAAGTTAGTTACTATCTATACCCACTTGACAGCAGTGCAACTGCACAGAATAGGACTTACTTCAGATATTGTACTATAAAACTTATAAATATTTGAATGGACAATGATTTTAAACTTACCATTTTGAACATCTAACACATGATGCTTATCCAACGTCCAGCCTCCCATGTTGGAAGCATCCAATTCATAGCCTTGCAAAATGGCTGTCCGTTTTTCCCATAGTGTTAGATCCAAACAAGATTCATATTCATAACCTACAGATACTAGAAATAAAAATAAAATACTCTTCAAGCTTCTGAACTTAATCTTTGCTATTCAGCACCAATTTGCATTAATATCCAATCTTATTTATATAGAACTTAGAGCTGTTATATAGGGCATACTTACTATTTTGATATTTATTCCCTAATCCTTTATAGTTAACGTATTTTTAAAACAAAAACAAATCCTTAACAACTATCCAATTTACTATGGCATAATACTTTTAGACTAAAGTGTAATTTACCTCATATACATAGATGTATCTGATACAACTGATGAAGTGGACTCTAGTTCACAAAAAAGCAGGTTGCTTACCTGTAACCGATGTTCTTCGACTGGCCATCTGTGCAGTCACACATATGGGGTGCAGTGCAGTGCCTTTGGCCGGAAGATTGCAAGCTAATGGTTTTTGGCAGGAAAAAGCTCCGCTCCCCCTCCCCCATAGACTATAAAGAGTGGAGCGTCCGCCATTTTGTTCAGTCTTTGACGACCAAACGTACGCCCCCATGTGGAAAACTTGCAAGTATGAGATAGGAAAAAAGATTGGTACCATGAAAAAAGGGAAAACTTTTGGTACCGACAATATGTCCACTCACCGACACCTAGCGGGGTCGGTGGGTGGGTTGTGCGACTGCACAGATGGCCACTCGATGAACATCAGTTACAGGTAAGCAACCTGCTTTTCTTTGTCGTGGTCTCTGTGCATCACACATATGGGTAGATTAACAAGCTTACCATAAAAGGAGGAGGGGAGGTGTCCTCAATGAAGAATAGATGAAAGAACAGCTCTACCAAAGGAGCAATCCTGCCAAGCCCGAACGTCTAGATGATAATGTCTGGAGAAAGTGCAAGGGTTCACCCAAGTAGCAGCTCGGCATACATCATCAATCGGTACCCCCGATGCAAAGGCAGATGAGACTGCAACAGCTCTAGTCGAATGGCTTTGAGGGGCTGCAGGTAAATCAATCTTAGCCAGTTGATAGGACAAGGTGATAGTATGGACTATCCACTTGGAAAGTCTCTGTGAAGAGACTGGATCGCCTTGATCTCTGGTGGAATATTTAATGAATAGTCTATTTGAACGTCGAATAGATTCAGTCCTCCACCTGTAAAAGGCTAAGCAGCGCCCAACGTCAAGTGAGTGCAAGGATCTTTCTAATGGAGTCGACGGTGATGGAAAAAAGGCAGGTAAGATAATATCCTGTCCCATATGAAAAGGTGTAGCCACCTTAGGAGAAAAGATGGGTCGAGGCGCAATACGATCTTTTCTCTGAAAATTCAGGTAAGGAGGGTCTATGCGGAGAGCGTAGAGCTCACTGGCCCTTTGGGCCGAAGTGACTGCAACAGGAAACCAGATGTAGATCGACTGTTGCCAATGGTTCAAAGGGAGCTCTCGTAAGCGCTTGCAGAACAACAGAGAGACTCCAGCTAGGCATTACTGGTCTGATTGCTGGATTAAGATTATGAAGTCCCTTAAGAAACCTCTTAACAATAGGTTGAGAGAAGATGGGTGATCCGTCAACTAAGCCATGATGGTAGGCTATCACTGCCGTATACACTTTAATTGAAGACGGTTTTAATCCAGAATGGTGCAGTTCTACTAGGAACTGAAGGATCTGATGTATCGATGAAGTAAATGGAGAGAAGGAACGAGACTCGGCAAAGGTAGAAAATCGTTTCCATTTAGCCGTGTAGGATCTCTGTGTGGATGGCTTTAAAGCCAAATCAAGGATGTGCTGGATATCAGGAGGAAAGGCTGTCGATTCGACAGGTCAATCCTTGAATCAGATGGTACGGAAGGAAGAAATGAAGAGGAAACGCCAAACTGACTGGATTCGACGGCAGGATTCAAATCACTTGAAGTCATCGTCGATACCGGTGGCTCAATGGAAGCTATCGGATTTGCCACACTGTTAAGTTCAATGACAGTAAATCCGGATGGCGAAGCGTACTGCCCTGTTGGGTTATGAGGTATGGAAGCAGTGGTAGATGGAGGTATTCGCCGCGAGAGATGTCGAACAGTGTCACAAACCAAGCTTGGCGTGGCCACCAAGGGGCAATTAGTATCCCCGAGGCTCGATCGTACATTATCTTCGCTATGACTCTCATCATGAGAGGGATCGGAGGGAAGGCGTAAAAGATCAAACTGGCTGGTACCGACTACCAGAACAGAGAATGGAGCACCGAGGATGGGATTTGAATCAATTTCGACAGTGGGTCTCTCTGTGGGTGGAACATCTTGTTGAAGAGGAGTTGTAATGGACGGAGTGGAAGTCTGGTGTGTGGCACCACCGCAACCGAGGAAGCCATATGCCCCAGGAGCCTTTGGATGGACTTTGCCGGGACCGTCCCGTCTCGTTGTATTCGATGGATGTGGTGAGCAAGAATCTGTTGTCTGTCCCAAGGAAGGAAGGCTTTCTCCAACGTCGAATCCAGGCGGGCTCCAATGAAGGTAAGCGTCTGCAGTGGCCAGTCCAAAAGGTAACTGTAAATTCGTAGAAATGGGGTACAACAGCAAAGCGAAGGAAATGCCTATAACTCAGGTGAATCGAAATGTGGAAATAGGCGTCCTTCAAGTCCAATGAGGAGAACCAGTCCTCTTTCCTTAGCAGCGGCAAGATATTTTGCAATGTGGTCATTCAAAACTTTTTCGACACGATAAATCAATTCAGATTACATAAATCCAAAATCGGACGAAGACCACCGTCCCGTTTCGGGACCATAAAATATCTGGAATAGAATCCGTGGAGTCTGTCAGGTGGGGTTACTTGACGAATCGCTCCTTTACAAAGAAGTTGTTGTATTTCATCGAGTAGTACCGGTCAGTATGATATAAACCGGATCGGACTCGAAGGAGGAACCACGTCGAGTTCTATCCGATAGCCGTGCTGAATGATGGACTCCCAGATGGGGAGTTGGCTTCGGAGCCGATCCCCAGATGAGAGGGGGGTGGGTATGGAAAAGAGCAGAGGAAAGGTTCGCCAGTCCCGTCAACCCTGTCTCCTATCATCGAAGCGGCGGCGGCTCTGCTGATAGCGTTGCTGGGGCTGTGGACGGCGGCGCTGCTGTTGCTGCTGCTGTCGGTGCTGGGGCTGCTGTCTAGGCTGGTAGGACTGCCTATAAGATGGACGAGTCCATGACCACTTATGCCTGGTCTGGGTCTGTATCTCTATCCTGCGTGCTGTCATGCGGGATTCATGCAGCTTCTTCAATTTGTGGTTGGTGCGTGAGTGGAAAAGCCCGGACCCGTCAAATGGCATTTCCTCTATCTGACGTTTAGTCTCCTCCGGGAAGTTACAATTTCTTAGCCAGGCGTGTCTCTGGAGTGAAACGGCACCGACCAAGGCCCTCAAGTCCATGTCCACATGGTGCCTGGCTGTGGACAACTGTTGGACAGCAACCTGCATCGCCTCCTTGATGAGGACCTTGGCCAGGTCACCCTGCTGGTGCGGAAGGGTCGAGGCAACAGTGTGGAGGCGTTGCATGATGAAATATTGATACCTCACCAATGTCGCCTCGTAATTTGAGATACGCAGCTCCAGGCCTGAAGCAGTGTAGACTCACCTGGCCAGGGAGTCGATCTTTCGGCCCTCCTTGTCCCTTGGTGCAGTGTGACCTCTCGCCTCTCTGCCCTGGGAGGACTCCACCACGACCGAGTTTGGCTTGGGGTGGTGGAGGAAGAAGGGGATATCCTCCTCCCGAACCCGGTGCATGGATTCGTACCTTCGAGACTTGAGTTGAGGGTGAGAGGGCAGGTCCCAGGGCTGCGTCATCGCTTGCTGTAAGGTGGTGATCAGCGGCAGGGTGACCAATGTGGACTGTTCCCCGCAGACGATGTCGTAAAACTTGTCCGTAGTTGGTCCCGGACGCTGGTCGGGGAGGTCGAATCGACCTCCAAATCGTCGGAGTCAGCACTGTAATACGGGAGAGGCAATGAGGAGGACTCTGCCGGGGAGAAGGAGCGGCTACTTCCATCCCGAGGAGGTATTGGGGATGCATGCCTTGGGTCCAAAGACTGTGGTCAGTCGTGGGACAGTAGTGAAGACCGACCCCTAGGAGCAGGATAGTACCCGACGGAGAGCGGATCGCCCCAGGTGTGATAGTATGGATGATGCCATCCTTCCGAGCGCTGCTCCATGGAGCGACTCCTCCAGCTCCGCCTCCATTGTGGCTGTGGGCATAGGCATGGGTGACCTAGCCCTGGGGGGGGGGAGTCCTGAATTTCCCCATTAGAAATTGAGCCTCTTTGCAGAGTTGGAACAGGCCCAGCAGATAGGTCAGGCACATGGCTAGGGGACCCTTGAGGGGTAACCCTCATAGCCTCCTGAAGCACCGGGTCGGGTGGAGTCGGTATGGTAAGTGCCGCCGGCACCGAGGGGGTCGTCGAATCCAAGTCCCAGTGTCGAGGACGCTCCAGATCCTTCGGTTTCTTGGAAGGTTTAGGAGCCTTGTCCTTCCTGGCCTTCTTATGGCCTGCCGATTTGTCAGGTTCGGTGTGCTTACGCTTCTCGTGCTTCTTCTTGGGAGAAGCGGGCGGAACCACCACTGTAGTAGACGCGCCTTCGTCAGAAGGGCGAGAGGGTGGGGCCACTGAAGTGGAGCCAGGCTTTGGAGCAGCAACAAGCGGGGAGCCTCCGAAGGTGATTCTCACGATTCTTCCTGGCCTGCTTAGAGAAGGCCAGGCAGTGAGAGCATTTATCGGTCCTATGCCCCTCCTGCAAGCAGAGGAGGCATGGGTCATGCGGGTCAGTTGGAGACATTTTTGACCCGCACTCCGCACATTTGCGGAAAGCCACTTGCTCCGCCATTGCAAGAAACGGAAAAAAAGAGAGATAGTGCAGAGGGTAAGTATATATTTTTGTTTGTTTGTTTTTTTAGATAGAAGATCGAAAGAAAGGTAGAACGATAGAGAAAACTGTAAGAACTATACGAAGCAGAGGAATAACAGGAACTAGGAGAAATACCTGGGCTATAACAACTGGGAGAACAATTGAGAGGAAAAACAAGCTAAACGAGTAATGGTCAGAGCAAGAGCGAAAGCGGCACGAGGCACAATGAACGGCGGTCGCAAAGACTGAACAAAATGGCGGACGCTCCGCTCTTTATAGGCTATGGGGGAGGGGGAGGGGAGCTTTTCCCGCCAAAAACCATTAGCTTGCAATCTTCCGGCCAAAGGCACCGCGCAGGCGCAGCACCCCATATGTGTGATACACAGAGGCCACGACGAAGAAGTGTTATTACAAATTGTTTGCAATATGCCACATGATTTTAACATAGCAGACACTGTAGAAACTGTTTCAAAAATAATTGAATATTCATCAGTATAGTGGAAGGCATATATTTTTAAAAATATACCTTTTTTCCAGTATTTTTGTAAGCAGAACTCTACTTCTGTTTATGAATGGAAACAATTGGGTGAAACCCGTATGGATGTGCATTTCATCTGAACGCCACTAAAATCACCTGCATGCCTTTTTTTTTTTTTTTTTTTTTGAGGATATAATTTTACCTTATGTTTACTTTGGACACAAAATAAGAGAGAAAACCTATCTAAGCTTCATCAAATCCTTTGCAGAATTGGAGCTGCTGCACCTGTATATCCTGCACGGTGAGAGATACTTCAAGACTCGTAAGTTGCATGCTTGGCTCTGCCAATTAATTAGATAACAAATTCTAATCTTCAACTGAAGTTTCAGTAAATTAATTGTAGTGCCTGATTAGAGCTTGGAGCGCTATATATGCATGATACAATGATGCTTCCATCAAAAACATCAGATCTTTAATAGCAATTTAAGGCAATTAACTTCATTTTATTTTTTGAAAGCACCATAGGCAGAAACTCCTACAAGAATGAAGGTACAAGCAGGTCTTTTGCATATAATTGCATTTCTGACATGATCTACACAATCCTTCAAACTGTTACTTCCAGTTACTAGTTTACTCAAATGCAATACCTGCAAATTAAATATAATTCCTTTGTGAATTTTTCTTTCCAAAATGTATTGCCTGTAACATCAAGTTTACATCTATTTTATCAAACACACTAACATACATCACTATAAATATTGTTCCAAATAAGTAGTATAAATATAGTGCCTTGCAACGCTGATAGAGACTTAGCAAGAAGGTTTGCAGCTGAAACTGCTGCCAAATCTGCTTCTACCAAGTACTGGCAGAATACTTATGCAACCAACAAGTGCCAACATTTTTGTTTACTTAATTTTTGTGCTACAATAAAAATATTTTTCACCTTCATAATGCTGAGCGTCTTGTGTACATCAAGGGGTAACAATGCCAATAAAATTCATTTCATTTCCAGGTTGTAATACAACAAAATATGGAAACAGTCAAAGGGTGTACGCATTAACATTTCTGCAAAATTTAATGATCATTACTACTGTTATTTTCTAGGCAATTCAACCAAATGAAAACCACCAACATATAAAACCTACCAACAGCTTCAGATAGACCATAGACCTTTTGATTATATGCATCAGTTTTGTCCCATATGAATGTATAAGCCAAGTTTGGAGATGCAGGGAACCATTTTTGAAAAAGTCTTCCCACTACTGCAACCATGAGATGAACTTTCATTAAGTTAAATGGTATCACTGACTGTGTCATGGTGATTTTAAGAACAGATTTGTATCCTGCAGCTCTGGAGCTTAAATACGACAATTTCAAATCTGTTCCTGGGATTGTTGTTTCTTCATGTAGTACCTAAAAGACAGGAAAAAACAAAAAACAAACACACAAACACACAAACACAAAATTAAGGAAAATAAAGGAAAGGTGCAAATAATGTGAAACCATATTACAGATACCATTTTCTACAGGAAGATGCAATAGTTAAGCAAAAGTAATATATCTGAGCTAGTTATATCAAATTTTGAAGCATGAATTTAGTTATTATTTAGGGTGAATGTACATAAATGCTTTTAAATATTCCCTGCATCAGACTTTTCCAAGAAGTCATGACTGCACTAAGAAGTAACTTCCCTCTCCCTACCAAAATATTGAGAAAATGGGCCGGTTCCCATTTCTAAGCTATGCTTCAAGAAGTCTGCAATAAGCACTGGGGTTGCACACTCCCTGTTCAGTTTGTGTACTAGTTTTGGCACTGTTATCTTGACCTTTTAAACCAGAATTTGCTAAAAGAATATTAGGCCACAGCTGAATTCTTGTCTGAGACTACGGTTCATAAATCAAGGCAGACTGAAAGGCTGCAGTCATAATATGAGGGACAGGCAATGGAGGAGCATGTCGCATTTGAAAGGGTCCACATTTATCCAAAGCAGTTCTGTACTGCTCATAACAAAGATTTACACACTAATTTATTGCAATTAACACTGAAAATATTGTTTTAAGTAACACTGTTTTAAGTAAATAAGTTTTGCAAAGTGAAAAACCTAGTGTATAACCCATAAGAATCCTAGCAGTGGCTTGGGTATCCTTCAGCTAGAAGCCTCTAGATCTCACTCTCAAGTGAGAGAAAACCATTCTAGCTTCTCCACATAACTGAAAAAGTAGTAAATGCAATTCACTGTCTTTACTTCTATTCTCCCATTTTCAATTAAATATATTGCATTTCTATACTACCCACTAGCCAAATCTATTTCCTTTCTCTTTTTAAACATCTGCTTCATATTTAAGAAAAAGGAAGCAGCATAAAGCATTGTTTCCTGAATAATTCAAAACTGGGAGGGTAAAAAGAGTTAATCTAACATCACAGAACATTAAAGAACTGAAAGCATTCTAAACATTTATAGCTAACCTATATTTTTCTAGGTATCAATCATAGGTGCCACATGTTGTTAATAGGTATACCGTTCAATAATTGAAGCTCTCTTTCATTCTTTGTCTTCCTCTTTCCCTCTTGCTAATACAATAATTTTAACTTCCTTCTATATGCCAACCCTTGACAACCTTTACTTTCAGAGTTCTTTTTATACTGTTCCAATTCTTTGCAATTAAGAAATGTGGCAGCAGTCAGCAAGTCACATATGATAGAATATGATAGTCATTTAGAATAACCTTATCAATCCTAATGGGACAGTTAAAGGATTTAAAAGGTAAAGAATAAGATTTTAATTTATTGTAAAAATGTGGCCTTATATTTCTGTGTTTTAGGATTTTCAGAAACATATTTATAGAGGAGGATCTATGTTTATTATCCTCATATTTTATTTAACTTATTCAAGGCTAGCTAAATAGAACATGCTAGAACCTTAACATTATATTAGTGTAAATCTAAGTCAAATAACTTTTGGTGAAGCTTCTATACCAAACAATGGTGTTAACTGATTTTCTAAGCATAATTTATCACTGATGCTTAAAGCTATCTCCACTGTTACTGTCAGTAAAGAATATTGTCTTATCAGTTTTCGGTAATATTCATTTAAACCTTTGGTTGTTACAGGTTTTTACCCCTAACTCAGTTAAGGCTTTACACAGTGTTCCAATTTAGACTGTATTATGTACATAGGGATGAATTGAGACTTTTCCAAATTAGAATTCTGTCAAGTAGATGCTTCCAGGGGTGAAGGGTAACATGATTTTCATCAATTCTCGCTGGCCCTGCAGCCTCAAAATTCTGCTCCAAAGGGTTGAAGATGCCCTCAGAAAAGTATGCAAGGTGGTGACTGGGGCTGCAGGGGAAGCCCTCCTTCTGATTATTTTCAGGGGAAGCTGAAAATAACCAGCTCCTTCCTCCTCCTACTATGGGAGCATCCAGTTAATGGAGTGTGTTTGCATGCTTTAAAATATATATATTTTTAAAACTGAAATGCTAAATGGCAACAGCGCCAGCTACTCTATTTATTGTTGTAAATACAGCAGGAATAAAACTGAATAAAACCAAGTCTCATAAGCTCAAATGTAGATATATGAAAACAGCAAATGACCTGGGCTAATCTGCCCCAAACATCCTACCAAAGTCAAGACAGTTAATCTGTCCTTCTTACTGCCACTGATAAAAAATTTGGCCTTCTCTAATGCCACCCATAGTATCTTTTCCCTTTTAAACTTAGGAACCACTTGGTTTGTAGAATTTTCTTTTATCTTTGAAGGGATTTATGCATGCTTAATGCTATTTTTGACATTAACTTTTAATGTTAACAGTTAGCATTAACATGGGATTTTGACTGTCAGCAGATGTTTAACATAAAATTGAGCTGACCTTCCTCACGATTGGCCAGTAAAAGGGCAATCATTTGCTGACAATCTCAGGCATACACATTAAAGAACAGAAAAACATGCTTTATAGATTCTACTTTCTGGTGATTATGACAACAGAACTCACAGACAAGTAAACACCAATGTATCTTAACCAGAATATCTGGATAGGTAGCACATGGAATACAGCCTAAGTAAAAGTCCTCAACTATTTTACTATGTGCAGGTTCCAAAGATAGTAGCCACAGTCAATTTTATTGTCAGCTAACAGTCAACTATTATACATCAACATTTATACTAACAGGAAACATAAAGTAACACTACAGAAAGAAAATTTCTAAAATAGGCAAGTATTGAAATTAACCATCTCAGAAAGTACTCAATAAACAAGATAAGTTGTGTGTGCATGTGAAGGAAGGCCTAGAAAAGTAATGTTCCAGAGTCTGTGCTTTATTAGGTGACACCTTAATACAGCAAGTTTGGGGGCTACAGACTTCATGCAAACATTATTATATCACTATAATCAGGCAGTTTTATAGCAAAGCAACAGCCATCTTAAAGATGTAAACCTTAAGCCAAATCTTTATATCTGTTATCCAGAGTATCACTTCAAAGAGACTTCCATCTAATAGTATGAATACAATAGGAATCTGCAAAAGGGTTCATTCAAAGGCTAACTTGAACACCATTTAAATCCAAAGACACACTGTTAAATCTACTGACTGTTTCTGGTGTAGAAAAAACTGTATAGTCACTTGACTAACAGTGACTATGGCTGGTCTACACTGGCTAGCTGGCCATAGAAAACTCAGTTCTGACCTCTGAAACACATGCTGGACGCTCTCCTCCTATACCTTTGCAGCCTGTGCAGTTCTTTCTGTACAAGTTGCACTGCCAAGGATGAAAGACCTACCTTGCAGTCACGGGGGAGGGGGGGTGTTTAGGGGTCAGGGAAGGGAGGAATGAGGCTCTGCCAGGATACAATATATACCAGCAGTGCCTTAGCCTGTTTTCCTCAAAAGCAGGTGCTGAACACTTAGGATTTGAATGCTGAGTCCCAAACGGCAGCATCACTTTAATGATATTTCCAATAAATTCATTTAAAATGGGTTTATTGCAGTTTTAATAAGATATTCTCCCTGCTTGTTCTAATGCTGTTGTACATTTATCTGTTATTTTTAGCATTTCTGTTTGCACAATTTAATCTTTCTTGTAAGCTGTTTAGTATTTTTTAAAGAGTAGCATACAAATAACTGAAAAGCAAACTTTCTGTTTCTGATGTTCAGGCGGTGAGTACTATTGCTTATATAGCCAAGCCATATACATGCAAGGCAGGTGTCCAGAAGCATGGGGGAATCCAAGGTTTACAGAAGGGTTGGGGCATGCGGAGAACTCAGTGGGTGAACACCCCCCCCCTCCCCAACAGCCCAATAAGGACAGAACATTTTTGGTGGCAATGAAATGCTGACTGACTGTTTGGGCCAGAAGCAGGAAAGAGCAGAAGACTTGAAGGATGAAAGAAACACTTTATACTTTCTAAAAGGTTGCATGTTTGTCTTATAAGAACAGTGAAGGAATATTTCAAGAGCACTACCATCAGGGATAGGTAACTTAGCAGTGGGGGGGGGGAATTCCTCCAGCCCTAAAACTGCTCCTCCATTGCCTGCCTTCTTAGTTATTAGTAGCAAAGAGAATATACATGTAGAAACACAGCTGGGAAGTTGTAAAACCAGATCACTTGTTGAAGTAGATGAGCTACTTTTTATAATTTAAATTTCAGACAAGCATGCTTGGTTTTGTTGCTTTCAATTATTCCATTTTGAAATTTAATTCTAATCACTAAAATGATACTGTTTTGTGTGCCATTTCCCAATATTCCCTTCAGAAAAAGGAGTATTTACATTAGCAGTTGGCTATGAAATTGTTCAAAATAAGAGTATTTTCCCTTCCTTTCTTAGGCTAGATCACTGCCTTGGGGAAGGTTTCCTCATGCATTCTGATCAATATTCACTCCTTTTTCATATCAGAAAAGTGCAATGATTCAATCTTTTTAGAGCATTCTCTGAGAAAAATGTGTGGGTGATAGTAAGACAAGATGGGTTTTTGCCTTTCATGGATTACGATAGTCAATCTTCTTTATTTCATTCAGGACTTCCAACAGGATTAAAAATATCACACCACTAAAGACTGGAAGCTAAAGCTTTAGCTGTAAAGCCACCAAGCATCGCCATTAAGATTTTAAAAAATCTAGAAATACAACTATAAATCTGATGTCTTGGCTCTATGGTACCTCTGAAACATATAAAGCATAAATCCCAGAGGTGTCAGAACATCCCTTAGAACAGTCTCCCTGAACTGTTGCCTTGTTAATCCTAACTCCACCCTATGCTGGCTGGGGATGATGGGAACTGTAGTCCAACACAACTGGATGGCAACAGGTTTGGAAGGCTATCATAAGGCTAACAGGAAGATAAACCCATGATGCACTAACCCCATATATTGGCAACCATCTCAAAAACCTGAGCAGATGGGTAGCTTTATTATCA